CGCCCCACTCACATGCAGAGTCTGGGATACAGCCAGAGCCACGGCCAGAGCGGAGCACACCGACTCTGCCTGGCCCCAGGAATGAAGAACATTTGTCTTTTCTTACGGGATATTAATGAAGCTTGGATAAAGGAATGCTGTCTCCTTTAACTGAGCTTCCAATACTGAAATTGAATACTTCTGATCCTCTCCCACCTGGAAGCTGCTGGTCCCCTCTGGCAGAGGCACCACTGACATGGGGCTGCTTAGAGATCTCAAGGAGCACCTTAAAAACCCAGGCAGGCTCTCTCCCTTTGCAGCTGAGCATGGTACCTGAACCACTGGGAAGCACCAGGAGCATGGCAAGAACACAGGAGAGGCATCAGCATCATCAGCCATGTAAAATAAAGGCTGGCCAAGTAAAACAGCTGCATAGTCAGACTTCGTGCCCAGTTTGTGCCCTGTGCCATTGAGCAGGAGAGTCTCTGCAGAGCCTTGTGCTCCGTACCAGGGCCACAGGACTTTTCTTGCTTTGAAGCTGAGCTGGCACAAGAAGATGTCTGCAGCCATCCTGTCAGAGCCATGGCCAAAAACAACAGGGTGAAGACTTTGGAAAGAGCCAGCCATCCACAGTGTAACTGATTTAAACTGGGGACCTGCCTGGCTCAGGGCTTGAGAACAGCTTTTATGCGGGTCAGAGGTTGAAATCCTAAGCACCACGGTGGGGATCAGAGACTTCTGCTGCTTGGTACTGCCTGGACTCAGCCCAGATGTAGACAAGCTTCAGCATCAGGGTGGCCTCTTCCAACAGGGACCATTTTCCTACAGTCCTTTTCACAGGAGAAATTAATGTGTGCATTGTTTTTGCTCTCCTCCCTGTGGTTTTAAATTTTTTCTCTGTTTTGATGGTCAGAGGGGTAAAGCTAATTCCCATCTCATATAAAACAATTAATTTGTCTCAGTAACAAGAGGCTAAATGTACTTTTTATACTGTGGTGTATGATAAGCTATTTATAAATTTCATATCACTGCTGGATCCTAGTCAGAGTTTAAAATAAAGTTTTAATTTAACCATTGTGTTGACAGATATGATAAATACATTTTTTTTTCTATAAAACCTAATTTCAGCAGTGTTTTGCAAAAATCATTAGAAGCTAAGCATTATTTTTTTTTTTCTTTGTTTTTCTCCATGTTCCAGTGTTTAGTTTAATGTTACATTCCATTATAGGAAAAAAGAAAAAATTGTGTCTGTGGTAATTTGTTCTCCAAGGCCTCTGCTTAAGAGATGGAAGGATTTTCCTGAGAAGACCAATGGAAAGAGGCGTCAGCTCATGTCACAGAGGCCTTGGGGCAGTTGCAGCACCTCTCTGAGGTAGAACCAGCTCTCAGAGCACTGCTGCAAAGCCCACTGGCAATTCACAGTGATTGAGCAAATCTTGGTATTTCAGGTGACCCCACAAGAGAGCCAAGAGGGCACAGTGGGGCAGGTTTCATGTCTGGAAGCTGAGTTTAAAACACAAGTCTTCCATCAGCTGCCATTGTATTGTAGATGCAAATGCAGCACAACAGAGCCCTACATGTTGTGAGGTGAGCGGGTCAGACACTGTCCTGGAACAACAGAAAAACAAGAAATGTCGAGCAGGAAAAAAAGCTTGTTTTAAAGTGTTTTAAAGCTGCTGTCTGTCTTCTCAGCCCTGCAGTTTACAGCCTGTACTTCTCATGCTGCCTCCCTGTTAGACAGACAAACAAGAGATGAAGCTATTTGGGGAGCAAGTCTGTGTTCTGCAGATGTGAAAATACTGACACTTGTGTCTATATGGACTGGCCTTTGTCGGTGAGGAGCTTCCAGAAGCTCAAAACACCCAGGAAAGGGGCATGCAGAAGGGGAGAAAGGTCTTCTGGTGGGCTGCCATGTCTCTCAGGCTGCTTTCATGGTGATACCCAGAGGACGTCATTGATGCAGCCAGCTACAATAATCCTTTCAGTGGGAACAGGTGCTGGGGGATAATCCTGCTGTTTTCCTTGGTCACAGTTCTCTTCAGTCACTAAGACAGAGCAAACAGGATTATCACAGCAGCAATTCAGGAGGTGAAGTTTTTGGTGGCACATGCCCAGGGCTCTGTGGACATTTATTTCCAAGGGAGGTGCTGGCTTTGCAGAGCAGCCTGTCCTGCTGGGATGGGCCTGGCTGGCTGCTCCCGAGGCTCTCACTCACACTGCCCCTCAGGGATGAGGGATGAATCCCAGATGCCAAGCTCCTGCTTTCTACAGCTCTCCCAGGATATGCCTTCCCCAGTATCGTGGACACGTGTGGGATGGAGGCTGCCCAGCTGTGCATTGTCCCAAAACCTAGCTGGGCCAAGGCACTGGAAAAGGAGCTGGGGGAGGACAAGGGGTGCCAGCTCTGCTCGGGTTGCCAAATTTTCTGTAGCCAGGAAGGTTTGAGGCACTACAGACACCCTGGGGGTTCACAGTGACCCAGTCTGACTCTGAAACCTCAGCTCTGTGCCTGTGTAAGTGCAGGCTCGTGCCTCCAGCAGACTTTAATGTATTGTCAGGTTTTATTTTAAATCCCTGGAGCGCTGCACTCATCCACTCCTTCCCAGCCCATCTCCACTGCTGGAGCCTGGACCAGCCTGCACCCCTGGTGACTGTCCTTGCCATGCAAAGCCAATGCCTCTCTGCTCCTATTTCACCTCCTTTTGCTCTGCTGATAACAACCCCTGACCCCACCATGTGATTCCCTTCTCCACCAGGGAAGGGAGGGCACGTGAGGTTCTTGGAATCAGCCTTCACACAGCCTCTGTGCACAAACACCTGCTCCCCACTATTGGCTTGCTTCGGGACTTCCCTGACCCCTGATTTCAGTATCAGCAAAGCAATTGATCTTGGCTTCATGGTTTTGTGGCAATCTGGGCCCAAGGCTGTTTTAAATAGCAAACTACAAAATAAACATTTGTATATAGCATAAAGACACTGAACTGCAGGAATAGAAACCCAGGACGTGCCGGGTTGTTAAAGCTCCAGCTTGCAGCCGTGCTGATAAGGCAGCTTCCAAGAAATCGCCCAGCCCTTGAATTCTAGAAGCTCTCTCTTCCCAGGTCAACAACCTTCTATGGACTCAGTCCTGGTGTCACTCTACAAGCAAACACAGGCCAGGCAGGACCTTCTGCATATGGTACAAAACAGAGAACCTGTGTTGCTAAGAAGGGGACCAGGCACTCTCTGGCAAAGGAACCTGAAACACACAGTGAGAAGCACATTGGTAACTCTGGCAGATTGGGAAAGCACAAGAAAATGTGCTTCAACTTCGTTCTTCTTTGAACAAGCCTCCTCCTTTTCTCAGAGGGGCTGGAGGTGGTGTTGGCTGAGCTGCTGCTCTCCCTGTGCCAGCTGTAGGCTGCAGTGCTGCCACATTTGGGGTCCCCCTGTGGTCTCCCCTCTTCTGGAGGAGCACTCCACCAGCTCTGCACCCAGGCTGCTCCCCTGCTGCTCCACACCCTGCTTTTGGCCAGCCTTGACTTCAGACAGGAACAGTGGCTCTTTGGAGAGCAGATTTGCCAGAGCATCCCACAGCTCTGTTAGTAAAAGCCTTCAGTGTGGCTCTAGTGGGAACACAGGCAGGGCTGATTGGACCCAGTTGTTCGGCTCCCTCATTTCACAGGGATGCTTTAAAATACCTTATGCAGGTGCAGGAGTTGACACAACAGAGCATACACCGTGCTAGAGTCTGTCCAGCTTGTGTGTAAACACCACTAGTCCCCTTTTCAAACTCTTAGGAGTTGTTTCATAAACACAAAATACTTCACTTAATTTCCAAACCACGCGGGGTTTTCTCAGCCGGGCTGGTGGTGGAGGACACAGCACCAGCGCCGTGTCCTGCAGAGCAGCCCCAGGTCCCTGCCAGGGCTGGCAGCAGAGCCAGGCAGAGGCTACCACCTGCTGGGCCCTCCTTGCTGACTGCTGCTCAGAACCTCTCCATGGTGCCACTTGCTGCCTGGCAGGAACACTGTGTGCACAGCACAAACCCCTCTGGCCAGCCCTGTGTCGCTATCAGAGCTCTGGACACGTGAGCCTTGTAAGCAGTGAGGATGCTTAGTCAGTAATTTTGGGCACCCGACCTGTTTCTTGCTCATTTTTTGTCTTCCAGAGTCTGTTTCTCTTCCTTATTGACCCCACAGAACAGGGTCATCTTTCTGAGCTGAGGCAAATTGCTAGAATTTTGCTGAATTGAGGAACCTGTTATTTCCCCACTGAAACTTGCTCCTACCAAAAACCAAAATGACTCCTCCAGCAGTCCATAGAAAGAGGGAATAAAATTCATGTATACTGGATGGGGACATGCCTGAATTTGTGTGGGATCCCACACTTGCACAGGGAATCTGGAAAAGTCTTCATGGGAAACACCCTTACATGTTTAGGGCTCTCCACGGGAGCTGGTGGCAGCACGAGGCCCCAGCTCTGCCGTGCAGTGTCACCGTGCAGGCAGCACTCACGAGCAGCCAGGACAGCTCACAGGGCTGCTGCTTTTGGGAGAGTGCAGAGCCTGGCCTGGGCAATCCAGGAAACACAGGGTCATGTTTGTCTCACTCAGGTGAGTTCTGTAGCTGACCCTGACTCCTGCAGACTTGAGATTGAGGGACTTGGCACCTGTTCTGGATGGGCGCTTTGTGCATCTTGCAGTGCCGAACACTCGCTGCTCCCAGCCTCTCCAAGGGGCTCGTGATGCTGCAGCACATGCATTTCTGGGGCAGAGACACTGGTTTTGCACCAAGCACACTGAATGCTATTGACACAGTTTCTTGATTGAGCCTTTTTTGTTTAAGCTGCTCTACCAAGCTGCCCTGAGCCTCAACAGGCCATGCTGGCCTGCACCATCAGGCTTCATCTTCCCAGTTAGCCAGGCTCTGGGAAAGTCACTGGAAGGACTCCAGTGGCTTCAAAATAGGAGTTGACTCATGCCCCATGAGATCAAAACAAAATGTCTCTGCATATGAAAAAATATTATGGAAACTGTATCATTCATGCACGAAAGCCACACTTCAAATTTATCATATAAAATAATATTGTAAATGGAAAGAAAAAATTGCACAAGGCCTGGTGTGCATGAAAATTACTGGCATGAAAATGTCTCTTCCCATAAACACAGCTGCGGTCTGGTACACAAGCAGGCATCCAGAACAGGGAAGCTTGGTCCCTTTCTGCTCTTCTTCAAAACTCTCCTGTTCTGTAGGAGTAATTAATTTCCAGACTCATCCCTTGTATTGCCAAGAGTGACCCAGAGCAGAGCTTAGGCTGGAGTGACCATTATGAGGCAGTGTAACAGGCATTTCAGGAACTCACAGATACAGCAGCAGCACCTGAGAGCACTGCCTGGGACAGAGATGGTGCTCAGAGCACCCACAGCCAGGCTGCAGCTCTTGGCTCACTCAGGTCTTCGTGGGAGCTCTGAGTCTGGGGTCAATCCCACCCCACTGGAGCTGGCCAGGACGTGGCCGTGGTGCTCAGCAATGCAGAGACCCCGCGATTCCCTCAGCCGACATCTGCAGCTTGGTCACAGTCCAGCAAGAGCTGATTGCCACGCTCCAGGGAGCAGGGTTTAGCATATCACCTTGAGGAGACGAGCAGAGGATGCTCTGCAGGCACAGCAAATGAAACTCTAAGGGAAAAAAATGAATTAATGTGGGTATTAACCAGCAATTTGTCATACAGCCTCTAGAGTCAGCTTCTGATGCTGTGAAGTGTGCCGTGAAAAGCAGTGGATGTTTCTGTACCTCCTCTTGCTTCTCTGAAGCTCTTCAGCACTGGGAGCAGGTGGACACCACCGAGCCTGTTCACTGCTCAGCAGTGGAGAAGCTGGGATGCTGCTGCTGCTGCTGTCCCACCTCTGTGCAGGGCCATGGGGCAGACTGCAGCTCAGGTTTCCCTCTGTGCCATGCTTCCCTCCCTGGGTGGGAATGCCAGGAGCTGGCTGAGGGCACTGCAGAGGTGCTGTCTGTCCCCTCCTGGGCTGGCCCTGACACACTTTCCATTTATCACTCTGTAGTGCCTCAGTGTCCCCTCCCTGTGACACCCCTGTGGCAGAAGGATCCCACCACACACCCTCCAGCAGCTGGGCCTGAACATAAACACAGTCAGGAGTCCAGCGACCCAGAGAGCCAAGTGAAATAACCCACCTGCATCATTTGTCCACTGTTGCCACGAAGTTACCCATTTTTCCCCAAAGCACATGCAGTTCAGCACTGCTGGCCACGCTGTGCAAGCCCATCACTGATCCCCATGCTTACAGAGAAGAAGAGCTGTGAGATGGCTGAGAGGACTTCTGGCTCTCATGGTCTCCTGCCCCAGTGTTACGGGGTGACTGTGGAACCTTCCTCAGCCAACTGGGTCTACTGGTTCCCTGCTGGAGCAGAGAGCTGACTGACTGACCCACAGCTGACACCAGGAGATATCCAGCTGCGATGACTAAACTCTTCTTACATTCCAGAAATCCAACAAATAAATGTTTCTTGAAAATAGGCTGGTGTTTTGTTCTGGGAAATGAGCAGACCATCTTCCTGGTTGCTTGTGTGCAGAGGGCAGAGCCTCGCAAGGACCCGCAGGGCACCAAGCAGCAACACCAGCATCTTGCTTGCCCTCCCTCCCAGCTGGCCTCTCCTCCTTTGATGGGTTTGGAACGAGCTCTGGAGGTCTAACTGCGGAGAGTAATGATGTGTGAAAGCTCACTTTCATTTTTCACTCTACTTTTTTGGAAGGTGGAACATTTTAGAGTTGACAGTACCATGCTAAAGCCATATGAGGCAAGTAACTATTTTTAACCAGATGGAGACTATCTGAGAGTCTAGTGCTGGATCATTTCAAACAAGGAAGAAATCATGGCATCCAAATGTAGGCGTGGGAGGGATGGGGGTGGGGGTTTTATCACACACTTATTCCAATAACTGTCCAACTGCTTCAAAACTTATGACCACTTAACTGAAAATGCCTGTGGGGTCACTTCAAGTAGTGGCTGCATTTTATGAAATGCTCTGAGAGAGAGGCAGATCCTCAGGTTAGAGCAGCTTGAGAGGCTCCCTGTGTTCAGCAAGCCCCTTTGCATCCTGCACCAAGCTCTGAGCTGTGCCAGATGGGAGAAGACACTTGCCCATCTTGGCACTGCCCTTCTCTGGACCCCCATCACCACGTACTAGATGGGTGCAATGTGCTCAGCTCTTCTGGGGCCACAGCCTGAGGTGAGAGGAGAAAGGGTGGCCCCAGCCCTGTTCTGGATGTCCTTCCACCTGACAGTGAAAAGCACTGCTTCTGCCTTCCCTGCCCAGAACAGAGGTGGTGCTCCACATAATGAGATTTTGCCAGGTGAAATTGGCCTTGTGGATAAACTACAGAATTTTTATCACATTTCCTTTATCTGACACACCTCAGACTTGCAACAGCAGGTTTTTCTCACTGGCAGCCAGGGACTAAGGCAGCCCCTCACACAAGGAAAGGGAGAACCAGGTTACAACTGCCTGACAGGACACGACCTAAATGGTGTTAGAAACCTGTCACCCTATTTGTGTGAATGCACATTTACAGGCACTCAGAGCACAAGGGTGGTGACCACACACTTGATGTTTAGCTTTGTGCTGAAGTCTGTTTAACTCTGTTGCAGGTGCAGCATTGCTGGTTCCATGCAGGAATGTGGCACTGCTTGGGCACACCCTGGTGCCAAAACAAGGGTTGGGAGGAACATTTCTGGATCAACCCCACCAAAAGTGAGGCTTTGTGGTCTGCAATGTTTTCCCACTTTGCAAAGGGAAATTGAACCTTCTTCCTTGACCTAGTTTGGCACTTGGCCACTAGCCTGTCTTCTCAGTACCACCACAATCATGAGTGGGACATGTGCCCTTTGCCCCCTCTAGACAAATCTCTTGGCTTTGATTTCCCAAAATCTGCTGTTCCTGGGATCCTCTACATTGAGAACAAAGTCAAACCCTGCCCTGGCTTTGCACTTCAGCATGGCTGGGGCAGAGTATGCAGAGATGACACAAAGGCATTGTGAAATTCCATGTCTGCTTGTCACACAACAAAACATAGTCTCTTAATCTGGGGAGAGAGAGAAGTTCAAATTAACTTTCTCTCCCAAGCCATCAGCATCATCTACAGAAGGAATCTTGCACATTTAGACTACTTTTAGCTCCCAACTCAGTGACACCTGAAAAGAGAAGCATATTGTCCATGGTAGGTAGGCTGCAACTCTCTCCAGCGTTTGCTGCACTGCAATTGCCTCTTCATCCTAAAACATCCTAAATGTGAGCTATGAGACCAGGAGGACATTCTGGCTGCAAAGACACAAGCAAATTTAGCAAAAAGGAACAGGATACATCCCCTTTAAAAGGAGTCAGGGTCATCATCTTCATCATGGAGAGTGGAGTTCAGGATAAACAATCTATGAAACTCAGTGTTTTTAAGAAGAGTTGTGACGTGAGATGGACACAGCAGGGTCTGCTGCCACCTGCAAACGCCTTTGCACACCCTGGTTGTCACTGCTGTCACTGCAGCTGTCACCTTGTGGCTTTGCTCTTCCTGTGCAGAGAGCAGCAGTGAGCAGCAAGGCTTGCAGTGCTCCCTGCTATGTCAAACGCAGCACAGGCTGCCAAGCTCACATATGGGCTGTGTCACTGTGGAGAGAAGACTTGCATCTTCCATGGGACTTGGCTTTCACTTGGGGTTCCCATCCATGGAGAAGCTCAGAACTTCCTTCCTAGACTCTCATCTCCTTATGTCTGGTTATTTCTGACTCACCCCTTGTCCCGAGGCAGGGCTGTGGGGAGGTGATGGCTCCTGCTCGGTGTCAGCCCAGCTAGGCAGGGCACAGCCCAGCCTGCTGCCAAGCTGACCTGGGCCTTTGGCTTGAGGAAATGCCTGCTTGAGCTGATGTCACTGGACTGGTGACGTACTTGCACACCACGTGTGGCTTGTCCCATCCCTGCCCCTGCAATCTTGAGGAACAGGGACTGACACATGTTTTTTCCAGAAAGCAATCTCTTCAGATAGAATTAATTCTGTGATTTCCAGGTGCTTCCTCCTCCACACAACTGATGAAGACTTCCTGAAGCTAACGGCCAAGGCTGCTCAAAGCCAGGACATTTAAATTAATCTTTTGTTCTTGGGGACTTTCTGTAGCTTGATGGCTCTGGGTGCTACTTCTTTCTCACTCACAGACCCAAACAGGTCCTAAAGCTGCCAGCAAAGAGGGGTTTTAGGGGGAAGAGGAGGCCAGGGTGGGAAGTGGCTTGTCTGTGGCTTTGAAACTGTGGGGTGGCTCCACTGAAAGCTGTTTGCAAGAGCCTCCCTGTAGAGCTGCTGTCTGGGAGTGGGGTGAGGGCAGCCTGTGAATCCAGCCTGGGATCCACCACAAATGGCCTCAAATGAGCCTACAGCTGCACCCCAGTGTCTGAGTCACCAGGAGACCCTGAGGATGTGGTAACTGAAGGCTGTGTTTAAAGGCACAGACAACCTCTCCTTCCCAATTTGAGAGGGTGCTTCTTGAGAAGGATGCTTGCATTTGAGCAACTCTGCATCCCGCAGGTTCTCTGTGCATTAAGGGGAACTGAGATTTTGATGGGAACACCTTGTGTTGTGCATCTATTTCCTCTCTCCCACTTATCAGGGGTTGGATCATGTTGCTTATTTTAAAGCCTAAAATGCAGATGAAGCTGTGAAGCATGAACAATAAATGCTACACGTCAGCAGATACCCAAGAAGCACATCCCATTAATAAGGGGTGATGAGTGAATAAAATGCCTTTCACTCCCTGATCAAGAAATTTTTATTCACTGTTTTTTAGCATAATTTAGTGTTGGGTCTGAGCCAGAATGTTTTTATTTTTGTGTGGATCTACATTTGCATTTTCTCATGGCTGTTCTATAACCTGACTGCACTGCCATTATATAAATGCTGGCATCACAACATTTTCAGAGCCTGTAAAAGGCACGGAGCAGAAATCTAGAGAACATACCCCACACCTGTGTCCTACCTCCAGTGCAACTTATCTTACAGGTACAACCTCTCCTGACACTAATCTCAAAGATCCCTTGGTAAAGTGTATCGCTTCTTTTTTTTCAAAAAATACTAAGCATTTCCTTATCCAGCTTTTTGCTTGAGCAAGAGGCAGTGTCCTGGTGCTGAACTGTGGCTTTCTTGCCTTGCCCTCCTCACCAGGCACGTCTGTCCTAGTGAGGATTTTAAACGTGGAGGATTTTAAACTAACCAGTATAAAATGTACATGAACATGAAGCCTTTGTGGCTACTGCAGTATTACCCTTAAGGAACAGGCATGGTTGATGCTTTCAGTGAGGTCAAGTCCCTCTCCTTAACTCTGGTGTTACTTGTGTCTGCTCTTGTGCCCTTGCTTGCCTGCCAGCCGGGAGGTCGACACCCCTGTTACACAAGCGAATGTCGTCGGTGTTTTCCTTCTTGATTGTTCTGCGTGTAATTTGGATTCCACGAGCGGCACTCAGCTTATGTCATTGTATCATTTTAATGGTGTTTTTCTTGGCTGCAGGTCTGATTTTCTTGGCCTTGCAGTTAGGGCATCTCTGCAGACACGGACACTCGATAGCAGCGGGCGCCACTTCCCCCTTCGCGCACCTTGCGCTCGCCCCTGCGAAACCAAACTGCAAAGGACTGGCTTTGTAATTCCTCCCTTGCCCGTTCACAGTGGCCAACACACTCCCCTGCTCCTTTCATTTTCACGTATCAGTACTAGGATTAAAGTTGTTACTGTACTACGTGAAATCTTCCAAGTTTTCCTTATGACAGCAGTGCCTAGAAGATGCCTGCAAGGATCAGGAAGAATTTGTTCTGCACAGGCAAAACCCAGCACTCCTGGTCATCAAGTGCTTCTGCTGTGACCTTCACTTGGGACAATAAAGGGATAAGGACAAGAAAATCATCAGGAAATGATGGTGCAATATTACCCTTCATGATAGATGCATATGCTTGGCATCAGCCATTTTCAGATTTTTGTCAGCAGCTGTGGAAAGGGTTTTCAGAGAAACATAGAAGGATATCTAGGTGCTTCAGAGTGGTCACATTTTGCTTGACCTTTTCTGGGTGCACCTCTTCCCAACAGAATGAGTTTGGGACTGCATTTTTTCCTGGGCTGTTTAGCAAAGCCATTCCTTATTCCTGGTAGCTCTGCTTTCAAGGTATCTCCAGCAACGTAGGTACCCTAAAACAGTAGTGCAGAGCTCTTGATGGATTCATGCAAATCCTCATGTTTTTTATTCCCTTCCTTGTATGAGCTGACAGTCAAATCATACATGTATGTTTTGCAGTTGAGAGTTGTTTTCTTATATATTACCTATTACATTTCTTGCCTGTGCTGTTTGTAAAAGAAAAACAAAGCAATCAGCTCCCCCCAAAGCAAGCTCTTTCTCCTCTAAACCCATGAAAAGTTAAAAACTGCATCTTTATTTTCTCTCCCCCTGCACTTCTGCTTCTGTGCTCTCTGCCCAGGGAT